GAGAAGAGAAGAGAAGAGAAGAGAAGAGAAGAGAAGAGAAGAGGAAAAGAAGGAAGAGTAGTAGTATGGGGGAAGAATTGTTTGCATGGGCAATGCTCTTAACACCAATCTTTCGTTCTCCCTGGCCTTCATGTCCCCTGCATGTCCCCCTCATGTCTCCTTCTTGCAATGTTCCCTCTGTGAGCATCCATGCACCCTAGGAGCAGTTGGGGCCATCCAAATTCCAAGCTGGCAGATGGCTAACAAGTTCCATGAAAGCTTCTTCTTCACATTAGAAGGGAGACAAGGCCTGAAGAGTGCCAAAGGCCGACAGGGTTGAGAGAGAAATACATTTTTCATAAATTATGTTTGACTGGGGTGACAAATGTGTGATTAAGGAGGGTGACAGCCAATGGCACCAAGAGAGGGGAATGTTCCTCCAAGGTAGACAGTCCCCCGCTGATAAGGGAGGCAGAAAGGGAGAGGAGAAAAGGCACAGGGGCTGGAGGGGATGTAAGTCCAAGTGCAGATAAAGAGAGGAGGCTTTGACTTTCATTTGCATCCAAGAGAGGCTGCCAGGAGACAGGAGGGGAAAAGAATCACAGAGATTCAAAGGCTGGCTGGAATATTTGTCTGCTTGGGGATTTGCACTTCTATAGATGAAAACAGTGCATTCAGGGAAGCCCTAAATGTTTCCGGGGGTGCAGAGACCCCTGATTACCATTGCCTCATCTCCAGAAATCCAGCATGGTGTGGTTCAATGGTTTCAGCATTGGACTACAACTCTGGAAAACAGGGTTCGATTCCCTGCTCACTCATGGAAACCCACTGGGTGACACTGGGCAAGTCTTAGCCCCAGAGTACCTTATGATAGGTTTTCCTTAGGATCGCCATAAGCTGGAAATTACTTGAAAGCAAAAACAACAACAACAACAACAACAACAACAACATTCCTCAGTAAGAAGTTGTTGCCTTCCCCTTCTTCATTGGGCCATCTCAACCAAGTAGGGAGCATATAGTGTTTCTGGCCTGTTTCCAGGCACAAAGCAAGGGGCTAGTTATGACTTACAAAGTTCTGTATGGCTCAGGTCCAGACTATGTGAGAAATATATATCCTGGAAGTTAGAAAAGAAGATATAGGCCAGAGTGATGGGATTTGTAGTCTAAGTGGCCAGTTCAGATATTACACCTTGGAAAGTCTAAGGGAGGGAAATGCAGAAGACACCACAACACAATTTGTAGTCTAGCTGGCTTGCAGTGGACTGGCTTGGGAGTGATTTATGTCAACAGCATTAAGCCACAGTGATGGGATCTGTAGTCTAGCCTTTCAGTAGGGGACTGGGTTGAGGGAGGCCTGTGTAGACAGAATCTGCCTTTTCAAGTGCCCTTGAGGCAGCTTTCTGTATTCATACCAAGGGCTTCATGACAAATACAATCAAGAGTGCAGGAGGAAGGAGTCAGTTGTACCAACGCACATCTCCTGTGATATGAGCTGAGTCTGAGATGCAATCGGAGATGGCAACTCCTGAGCGACGGGGAATTTGTTTGACTTTTTTTTTTTTTTGCCTCTTCCCCAAGGAGCTTTACAGACATCAAGTTAAATCAAGAATTTTGTAAAAACTGTTTTTGAGCTTGCTTTGAAGCCTGTAAAAGAACAATTTTAAAGGGATTTTAATGCCATAGAAAAGTTGGCAATTATTTCTGAAATACATTTTCGGGGTGTGTACTTTTGTCCAGAATAGGCTAGCAGCTCAGGGCAAAGGATTCCTAGAGCCGAACACTGCAAAATGTTTTCCCCCTTCTATGAATGAGAAGAAGAAAGGACAGAGATTCTGCTGAAGTCTTGCCCTAGAAAACATATAGTACAAAGGTTCACCAACTATGAAATATCTCTCCTACTCCCCAGGACTCCCCTTCCTCCTGGGACCCACAACAGTAGCCATGTAGTGGTTGCTAGAGAGCAAAGGATGGCCCCAAAGCACAACCACACCATCCCAGATCCACAGCCACACCAGTGATGAAAATGTCTTCTTCATTGTATGTCTGGCTGTTGTCATGTGGCCAAATGCTTTGCAGACATCCATTGCTGCTGCTGCTCCATGGCCATCGCTGAATACTAGGTGGCCATCAAGACATGGAGATGCCTGAGGATGGAGGATTCTCAGGTGACTTCAGTCATTGCACAAGAGAGGAAGAGAGTGCTGACCAATTGCCATGGGCTCGTCCCATTGCTTGCTTGACGGGAATTCCCAACAGGAATACAAAACTCAACCATGCCTGAATGATGCCCATCCAACCTTGGTTTAAAGACCTCCAAAGAAGGAGAGACCACCACTCTCCACAACAGTCTGTTCCATTGTGTGAGCATCTTTCAACCATCAGAAAAATCCTTCCTAAAGTTTAGGTGGGATTTCTTCTCTTGCAGTTTGAATCCATTGGTTCATGTCTAGAGAAGCAGACAACAAGCTTTTTCCTTCTTCCATATGACATCCCTTCAAATATTTAAACATGGCCATCATGTCACCCCTTAATTTTCTCTTCCCCAGGCTAAAAATCCCCAGATTCCTGAGCTGTTCCTCAGAGGGCTTGGTGGTGGGTTCCAGACCTTCCACCATTTTGGTTGCCCTCCTCTGGACATGCTCCAGCTATGTCTTGTATGTATTTGAACTGTTTTCAATGTTCCTCATAAGGCTCAACTGCTCCAAACTGCCTCCACCTTACCCCCATCTTAGATCTACAGGGCCTGAGTCTGAACCCCATGGGCACCCACCTCACCTGATTTAGATCCAAGCATCCCCGCCAGTTCATCACCATCCTTTCCTTCTTGGGTACCACCACCAAAGGCAGAAGAAGCAGGTCTCCATTCCTCTTTCCTTCCCTTTCCTCCTGGTTCCGGATAGTGTCTGAGACGCTCCCACACTCTATTTATCTCAATGTCATTTTCTTCGAGATGTGAGCTGGAACAAATGTGGAGCAGCTGTTTGGCTTCTAAGTGCCCTTGTGGGACCCCCTCGGCAGACACTTTGCAGAATATAATGATGACATTCTAACGAGCATTAATGCACATGTTGTCATTTTTTCTATATTTACACTTCCCGCAGGAGGCATCATCCTGAAAGAAGAGAGAGAGAGAAAGAGAGAGAGGAAGTTTTGCTGCATAAACCTCAATGTTTGCTCGACTTGACTGGACAACCATGGTCTCCACTGGGAGCGAGTCTCAACGGCAGCCAGCAAAGTTATTCTTTTATTTTTGCAGGGGAAAGAGCGTATCCTTCGGATTTCACTCAAAATCTTCATCACCCTTTGTTTGCAGTCTAAGAACCTTGCAACATTTATATGGTGCTTTTATGAACAGCATGGAAAATTAACGTTTAAGAACATTAACCAAGGAAACCAAGCCCTATGAGGAATGGCGCAGGGGAGCTGGGTAGGAGAGGAAAAGACTGAGCAATAGCTTGATAGCCATCTTTAAATATCTAAAGCAATGTCATGTAGTGTTGGATTAGAACTCAAGGAGTCCAGAGTTCAAATCCCCTCTCAGCCATGGAAACCTAGTGGGTGACCTTGGTAAGTCACACTCTCTTAGCCTTAGAGAAAGGCAATGACAAATCTGAACATTTTTTTATAGCCAACATGATGCAGTGGTTTCGAAGTTGAACTAGAAGTCCAAGTAACCAGAGTTCAAACTCCTGTTCAGCCATAGACACCCACTGAGGGACTTTGGGCAAGCCATATTCTTTCAACCTCATGGGAAAGGTAATGGCAAACCTTCTCTGAATAAACCTTAGAAGTCAGCCTGGTGTAGTAGTTTACAGGTTGGATCAGGACTCTGGAAGGCCAGGATTCACATCCTTGTTAAGCCATGAAACACCCCTGAATGATCTTGGGCAAGTCACACACTTTCAACCTCAGAAGAAGGCAATGACAAAAAAAATCTTCTCAATCAACGTTGCCAAGAAAACCCTAGGATAACCTAAGGGAAAAACCTTGCCTTGAGTCAGAGTTAAAGGCACTTAACAACAACAGACATATAGAAGATGGAACAAGCTTGTTTTCTTTTGCTCCAGAGACTAAAATAGAAACCAAGGAATCAAAGTGCAAGAACTTCTTGGGAAGAGGAGAGGAAGTGTCTGAGGGGTGTCCCATGCTATAGAAAAGAAGAATTACACTGTAATATCTTTTTGCATTGTAGAGAGATCTTGTAGCATCTTTGAGACTAACCAAAAGAAAGAAATTGGCAGCATGAGCTTTCATAGACTTCAGTCTATGCAGATGTAGTCTACAAAAGCTCATGCTGTCAATGTTATATACTGATTCTGCAGACTAACATGGCTATATCTTTCAATCAGGGGTAGGCAACCTTTCCCCTTTAAGGGCCGAGGGACTTCAGCTCCCAGAATCCCAGGAGCTATTGGCCAACATGGGACTATTGGCCAGCATGGCTGAGGCTTCTGGGAGCTGAAGTCCCTCGGCCCTTAAAGGGGAAAGGTTGCCTACCCCTGCGGATTCTCTCTTTTGTATTTTTTCTCAGAATTTCCAAGGTGCAATATCTGAATCAGCCTCTCAGGGGAACCAGAGAGCATTTTCCAATATATTTTCCAACCATAACACTAATGGCAACTGGCTAGTAAAGGGACAAAATACATTCAAGGTTTGTTGTGTTGACTATATAGCAAAATAGAACAAAAGTCCAAATTTGCAAAAGAGTGATAGCTTTATTGGCCAACTGAAATGCAAAGAACACATTTTGCAAGCTTTTGAAGCTTTACTGGCTTCTTTAGCATGCAAAAGACATTTAAAAACCATACAAGAAAAAAGCGGGGGGGGGGAGCAATAATGTTAGAGTCACAGACCTTCTGAGTAAACAATTGATTAGTAAAGAGTAACTGAGTGAGTTACCTTCCTAGACCACTGTAACAGTAGCTACTCATTCAAGAAAGTAGGAGAAATAACTAGTTTCTTTTCACAAGTAACATCCCAAGATGGGATGCCCAGCTTCTCAGAAGATACATTTAGTTTAAAGATCTGCTTCCTGGCTCCCACCTGTGGAGGAGTGGATTCGGAAGAGGTCTCCTTACATCCCCCTCCCCAAAAAATGCCCTCTGCTACTAAGCAAGCAAACAATATTAAAATGAGAAGAGAAATAGAGGCACATGATAGTTTGCATTATGCAGCTGAAATGGATAAGGTCGTTGCTTTGTCCTCTGCTTCCTGATTTTATCAGGGGGAAGATTGTATCAAATAAATAATGCATCAAAAGATTTTTCTTTCCTCTCTCTCCCCCCCCCTTCTCTCCCTCCCCTCTCTGCTACATTATCCCAATCGGCTGCAAGAATCCAGTCGCTATGATAAACAGTAATAAATGGCCATGCTTGTCTCTGGAAATTTTTGCTGGCAAATTTCCGAACCAGATTAAAAAGTAAATTAGATTTCTTCTGGAGAGTCATTTGGATGGGTTGGGGAGGGTGGAGAGGGTGTTGTCTGCTGATGTTCTTGTTCAAGATTGCAGCTTTAGCAAGGTTGCGAGAGAAAGAGAAGGTAAGATGGAGGAAACCCTGAGCGTCAATTATCTGCCTGAACGCAGGTCTCTCGTAGAGGAAGGCACCTCATCAAGAAAGTCTCAAACTTGCTTAAAATACAATGTGCGATGTAAAAAATGTATTTATAATGGGCCTTCCCCACTCAGATAAAATTGCTTCCAAGGTTCGGGCGATTGCAAGAGACAAGTATGAAAATGGAACAAATAGAATCAAATCGGGTATTAATAACAGCAAAATGCCATTTCTTTCTCCATTCCTGCGAGGGCAACAACGGTGTT